CTTGCAGGGAAGCGGACGATATGGCACAGGGCCCGACGGAGATGCGAATTTGTGGTGCCTCATGCCTGCGGGGGCATTGCAGGAAGATGGCTGGCCGTCATGAGGGCATATGCCACAGGGCCCGACCGTCAGTCCAAGGAGGGCGTCCTGGAAAGTTGCGGCCACTACCTACAAGGGACTGCCGAAACTATTTTTTGGCCCAGGGCCGCGGCAGGGTAAATCGGCCGTCGGAGGGGCGCGACACGAAATAACGCAAATTACAGGGGTGCCAGACAAATTTTCCCGGGAAAAAAAAGACCTGATTTTTTGCTGGTTGCAGTCACGACCTCGTTCGCAGGGTCCACCCACGTTCCTATCTTCCCGCAGTACTGTGCGCCTGTCTGTCAATCCGGAGACCCCGATCCTAGAGTGTTTTCCTCCCAAACCTGCGCGGTGGGATAATTGGTACAAAGCGCCCACGCCAAATCCTTTTCGGTTTTTATACCTTTTTCGGCCTTTTGGGCTACGGAGGGGTCGTTCGGGTAAGCTTGCTTGCTCGACCCCTTTTTTTTATTTTTTATTTTTTATTTTTTTTGCTCGGCCCCTTCTGCGGAGAGCGGCGCAGCCCTAAAAAACAAACAAACAAAAAAAAAAAATCATTTTCGCGCCCGAAACTCGGCTGTTTGGTACCACCGGCCCAATGACTTCCATGTGGGGTACTACAGGCCCACGCGCCGCTCGAAGGGCCGAGTTTCAGGCGCCCAAAACCGAAATGGTTTTGGCGTGGGCGCTTTCTACCAATTATCCCGCGCGCAGCTCATCGAAACCTGCGAGTTCTTCCAGCTGACAGGGCATTCTCGCAGCTTGACTCTATTGACCGAATGCTGGCGGTAGACATGGTCAGATGCATCCTGGAAAGCTCTCGTAGCTTGACTCTATTGACCGAATCTGGCGGTAGATATGGTCAGATGCGTCCTGGAAAGCTCGACCGTGGGCATCTACTGCCTGAGTCTGTAAGGAACAGTCCGGAACAGAAACTACCGTCTTCCCCCGAACATAACGCACCCTGAAATTGAACGTATGTTATTTCCGGTCGGGTACAGCCAAGATGAGGGTGCGTTGTGTTCGGGGTATGACGGCAGCCTCGCACTTGGTCTGGTGTTGATTGCCCTGGCGGAACGAGCAGGACTCGACTGATTGGAAGACGAAAGGGGTGCTGAATCTGCTGATTGCCATTGACTGCTCCAGGAGCAAACAAGACCTGTGCTCCCGCGAGAGAGTAACGGTATAGTAATATAATATATTTCTTTTAATAACGAGTAATCATTGTAAGGGGAAGAGTTCTTGATGAACATTGATTGGTTAATCCTACGAGAGGAGCAGCATTGGTCGCATAGATTGAAGTCCGGCGATCGTTTCCAGGGCGCCGCCTTCGTTGGACGGTGCGCTATTTGATCGACGACGAAGTCATTGATAACCTCAGAAACGATTGTCGGGAAAGAGTTCTCGATAAACATTGATTGATTGATTGATTGATTGATTGATTGATTAATTGATTGATTGATTGATTGATTGATTGATTCGAAGAGAGTAGCAGTCTTGATTGGTAGAATAACGTCCAGTGGTCATTACAGAGTGCCGTTGTGGTGGGATTGTCCGCTAGAGACGATAGACGAGTAAGTAATTCAAAAAAGGGATGCCCTAATTAGTCGCCTCGAAGACGTGATCCACGACTTTAAACCACCAGTAGTACTTCCTAGAGTCGTGTCCGTTAACGCGCCACGGTTTTAGGAAACGTACGGGCCACTACAGGAGCGTCCAAATTCATCCAACTAGAAACATTTCTACTCTATTTTTTTCCTTTCCCGCGGCGGATAGAAGGCCAAGTACTGGTGGTTTAAAGAAACCCCCCCGAGCGTCGAGCGATGGTGGGTTCCGCGCCTGTGATCGGCATCGACCTGGGAACATCCTTCTGCTGCGTGGCTGTCTATCAGACCCACCCTGAAGAAAAAGTGGAGATTATAGCAAACGACCAAGGCCATCGGACAACGCCTTCGTTCGTTGCCTTCGACGACACGGACTCTTTGGTGGGCGAGGCGGCGCAAACCTGCGGGAGGAGAGAGCCTGAGCAATGCATTTACGAGGTTAAGCGGTTGATGGGACGGGCGTACAAGGATGTGAACGTGGAGCTAGACAGAACGGCGTGGCCTTTCAAGGTCGAGAAGGGTCCGTCTAGCGAGGTTCTGGTGGGGGTGGACAGAGTGCCGCGAAAGTTTCCTCGGTCGCTGTTTAAACCGGAGGAGATCTCTGCGATGCTGCTAAGGAAGATGAAGAAAATCGCCGAAGACCACACCAACGAGAAGGTCACCGACGCTGTGATCACCGTTCCCGCTTATTTCAACAACAGCCAACGGGAGGCGACAATAATAGCGGCAAAGGCGGCGGGACTGAACGTGTTGCGATTGATGAACGAGCCGACGGCGGCGGCGCTGGCGTACGGGCATTTAAAGAAGATAGGAGCGGGATCTGTGGGGAAGAGAATCTTGGTATTTGATCTCGGAGGCGGCACGCTCGACGTGTCCATCATCACGGTCAATGGGCGGGGTGACGATCCGAACAATTTCTTGGTTAGCGCCGTCGCCGGCGACGGGCATTTGGGCGGGGCGGATTTCGACAAGCGCCTGCTTGAACATTTGGGCGGGGAATTCCGGAGAAGGACCGGGGTGGACGTTCTGAGCGACAGAAGGGCGTGTGCGAGACTGAAGGAGGAGGCGGTGAAGGCGAAGCTCACGCTCTCGTCGCTCAAGCATACGGAGGTAGAATTGCACCACAAGCAATACGAGGAGTATATAAAATTGACCCGCGTTACCTTCGAAAGGCTGAACGAGGACTACTTCGCCCGCTGTCTTGAGATAGTACAGAAAGCGCTCACCGACGCACGAATTACCAAGAATGGCATATCGCAGGTGCTCCTCGTTGGGGGCTCAACCCGGATCCCCAGGGTCCAACAAATGCTGAGGGACTTCTTCGGGAACGAGCCGCTGAAAACGCTGAATGCGGACGAGGCGGTTGCGTACGGAGCCGCCGTGTATGCTAACTACTTGTCTAATCTATGCGCAGAGGCCCATGGTCTGGCGCTGGAGGGCCCGACGGCGGGCGCAATTGGCGTCAAGGACGTGACGCCCCGAAGCATCGGCGTGAAGTTGGCCCTCGGTCAAATGCACGTGCTTATACCGAGGAACACGCCGTTACCAGCGACAGCGTCGGAGTCCTTCTCCCTGGCGGCGGACGATCAAACGACGGTCAGATTTGAGCTGTACGAGGGCGAGCGCGCGTTAACCAGGCGGAACCGGTACCTGGGCAAGTTTGAGCTGCGGGATTTCATCCCCACGCAAGCGACTGGCCAGGCGGCAACCAAGTTAACCGTGAATATTGACGAGGACGGAATTCTTCTCGCGGTGGCGGAGGCGACACTTAATCATGCCAACAAGGGAGAAACGGCGGATTTGACAATCAACAGTCGAAGAGGAACGCTGAACATCGAAGAAATGCACACGAGGGAGCAGGAGACGAGGATGGAGGAGGGGGAGGAGGAGGAGGATGCGGCAATCAGGGAGGCATTCGAGCAACGAGGCAATTTGCGCCGTGCGGCGCTGGAGATCCGTCAGCGGGTGCCTTCCATGAGCTGGTGGGCCGGCTTACAAGCGTCGAAAAAAGTGAGCAAAGTGGTAGATTGGCTGAAAAACGAACAACAGGTGTCCACGAAGGAGGTGTATGAAAAGAAGCTTAGATCGCTTGAGAGATTCCGGCGATAGTTATGGCACTCGCCTCCCTACCTAGTGTGGTTAGTTTCGACGGGAGCCTGCTTCTTGCAAAACTCCCTTCTTTTCTACCCCAATCCCTTTCCCACCCCCCCTTTCCCGATCTCATTGTCACTGCGGCCTATCCCGATTCATAACTTTATTTTATTTATTATTATTATTATTATTATTATTATTATTATTATTGTTATTATTATTATTATTATTATTATTATTATTTACTTTTTCTGAAAAGATGCTCGTTTGGATTGGCTAGGAGCCTCACTTGTTGGGGGAATGAAACGGGTCCGGTATCTGATCCCCGTTCCGTCGGTCCGTAGACCCTACGCATGTCCTGGTGCAAGCGAGAATCAAGACGATGTTTCATCCGTGCCGTTTGCTACCGAGCATGGCCGTGCACTTCCCTTTGACAAATTTCGACGAGCTTTTCTTTTATACGCTCGAAATATTATCAACGCTGCACTACTCTTGAAATGCACAAAAGACAAAAATCATGGCCGTGTATTTGTCCATATTCTAGGGGAAGATTCGCTCTCCTTTTGCACATTTCGAGAGTAGTGCAGCGAGGCCCATTATCAACGCTGTGTGATTCAGTCGCTCGAAATTCCGATCGCCATTCAGTCGCTCCCTTTTACACACACACACACAGACACACACACACACACACACACACACACACACACACACACAC